CTGTATTGTCTGTATTGTGCTTGTGATATGTTGTAAAATGTTGTATGTCTGTTAATGTTTCCCTCCTTTTATCTTAAAAAAAAAAAAAAAAAAAAGAACCAAGTCAAATTCAACAGTTAGGTTCAATGTTGACCTTATGGGGAAATTTGACTTGGTTCTTGTCCAGTTCAGTTTGGGACCAGAATTGTGGAGAGAATTGAGTTTGGAACTGAGGTAGCACTGTATATGTCAACATGTAGTATTTATTATATATAGCATACTAAACAGTAATGTACATGTAATAGTATGACAAGTTACATACATACTGGCTAATTGCTGAGGGTTGAAAATTACTGTGGACTTCATTTAATGTGAGCAATAAACCCTTTTTCATTAATTTTGACATATTTGATTAATCAGAGAAGTGAGAACTATTTTCACTCAATTTGTAATCTGGATTATGTACTCAAAATATACATTTTTAATGGAAAATACAAATTTCCCATATCTCAACCAACCTATAATGGCCTTTCCAAGTGTCAATTCCTCCGTGAAATTTCTATGTATGTGTGTGTCTTATCTTTTCTTTAAATGTCAGGATGATTTGTATCTTTCTTTGGGCATTTTGCACCCTGCCTTATATTATGATTACTTTTAAACTTACAGGGTAAGCTTCTTGTGGTTACTCGGTACTGTTTTAGACTTAAATTTACACTTAAGTCCTCTGAGTGGTGGAAATTTCAACATGAGAAACCTTAGACTGGTGGTACCATTCAGAATCTGATAGGTGAGGCAGACACTAATCAAATCATCAGACAGTGAGTGTCTATTTATGAGCTGAGATAAACGTCCTCAGGAGAGGAATATAATTTTATGGAAGAAAAGAAAAAGGAACCTGACTTGGCATCAACAGTCAGAGAAGCCACCCTGAGGACATGGTATAGAACTAAATATACTCTGGAGTGTGAGTGGGAATTCACTTTCCCCAGAAGGTTGGGGGCGGGCAAAGAGCGCTGGTTCCCAGCAGAGGAGCAGCCTGATAAGTCTTTAGGGCACAGGACAAGATGTGCAGGAAGGCCAGCTTGGCTTCAGGGTGGAGAATCGAAGCTGGTAGAGAGGTGGGTCTAGACTTGGCCGCCAGGGCCTGCAGGGTGCTGGAAATCTCCCCTCAGGACGCTATGCAGGACATGTTAAAATGGATACATCCGTGCTTTGAAGGCAGGGCTCCATCAGTGTGAGAGCAGAGATTGGAGGGAATCGGGGAGAATGGCTGTTGGCCCAGTGCAGGGTCCCAGATGAGAGCAATTTAGACTGACAGATTCCTTCTCTTAGATTTTGGGTAGAATCCTTTTCCTCCTCCATATCATATATCCCTTTACCCAGCTGTTTACATGGCTCTTGATGCAAAAGTAATTGCCATGTATTATATATTTGCATAAATTGTCTGCTTTCCCTTCTTTTTCCCCTTACCAGTAGGTTATGTGATCCTCAAGAGTATTAGTAAATTTCCACTAATTTTGAATTTAAAAATAAATTTCCTTCTTTCCCCCTAGTAAATATTGTGCAGTCACTTGGCGCTTACCCTTTGAACAGCAGTTGTGTGATTCTTTCCTGGATTCTGTCGGCCAGTGATTATAGTCTGATGTACTTTATTATTGAATGGAAGAATCTTGATGAAGATGATGAAATTAAGTGGCTTAGAATCCCTTCAAATGTTAAGAAGTATTATATCCACGGTAAGTTTACTATACATTAATATATTTCTCTCACAAACTAGTATGATGCTGCAGGTAATCAACTCAAGCTATACAGCCAGTTGATGAGAACTTCAAAAATATGGGTGATGCTACCATCATAGTACTTGTAACCCTATTACCTCATCGACAATTTCATTTTATTTACTTTGACATTTTTTCATTGTAATATTTTATATAGTTGTAATCACATATCACATATCACATCCGGTATTTCTCCCCAGTCTTTCCTGCCATTATTTTAAATGGTCATATCACATTTTATCACAAAAATCTATGTTATGGTTTATGCTTGGGTGTTCCCCCAAAGCCTCATGAGGCCATGGGGCAGGCATTTAGAGTTTGATTGATTATGGGTTTGAGAGCTACACCCGCCCTGGGGTGGATAGTTCACATATGTAAGGGAGAGGAAAAGGGTGCTTGAGGCCATTCCTGGCTTTTGTGCTTGTTGCTTTGGCTGTGTTCTGCTGCCATCAGCTGTAGCTCTCTTCCATGTGGCACTCTGCCTTGTAATCTGCCAAGTATGGACTGAAACCTCCACAAATTGTGAGCTAAATAACCCTTTTCTTCCTTAATTTTGGGCATCAGATATTTTGTCCCAGCAATGAGAGAAAAGTAACCAAGACAAGCTACTTAAACTTTTTTATTTGAGATTATTTATATTGTTTCAAACTTTATCTTTTTAAAACTGTTTTTAATGGCTCCTAATATCCATGGCCAAATTGTTTTCTCAGCCACTCACAGTGTCTCTAGCAATGAGTGCAGTGTTTGGCCAAAGTGTGAGGACTTAGGACCTGGTGACCTAGGCCAGTGTGTGCTCTCAGAGGTAGACCAGTTACCTTAAGAGGTGAGCAGTGTGCAGAGTGTAAGTGTGCCACAGAGCATCTGCAGATCAGAGTAGGTGTCAAGGGACCCAAGTAGGGAAGCTAAGGATTGCCGTGATCTTGTTACACAACATCATCCCAAGGGCTCACACTTTCACTTCACTCCAGAGACCTAGAATTCAGCATCAGGTAAATGTATTTATAAATTGTCGATGGAGACTGATTCATTACCACTGTTGCCTATATAATTCATCTCTTACTTCTTTAAAACATGGGGATATAGAAGTTAGAGTTGAAGAGATCTACCTCTGGAATAGTATTCGTATGTTATCAGCATTTGTAAAAATCATTGCTAGATCTGTTTTGAGCTTTGCTATGGGGGTGATCATTTACCATGCAGCAAGACCCCTACATGTTCTAGGAGGACTCTTCTTTGCATCTTCTTTGCATAGAATTTGATGAGACTTTAGCCTTGAAGATTCCTTGAATGGGGAAACTAAGTAATAAGCAAGTTCCTATAGGAAGAGGATGCTGCCAACTTTGCGGACCAAGGAGGGAAGTGGGACATACTATCCTGGGAAAGGAAACGAGGGGAGGCCAAAGCCCGTACAGCCTAAACTTGAACAGACTGGCTATAGGAACATGACTTAAAAAATCATGCTCTTCTACATCTGGGTTAGATTTTTGACAAATTATTTCTAAAACTATTACCATTGCCAGAGATTTGGAGGCTTCATTTAATTTTGCAGCTACCCCAATCATCAATTTGGTCCGTGAACAGCTACTAATTTCTATGTTTGCCTACTGTTTAATACACAGGTTCCACTGAGCAGTGGTTAAATAAATGAGCTCTTACTCTCTTTTTCTCCTCAGATTATTTTATCCCCATTGAAAAGTATCAGTTCAGCCTGTACCCAGTATTTTCGGAAGGAGTGGGGAAACCGAAGGTAATTAATGGCTTCACCAAAGGTAAAAATTTTACATTTAGCTTCTTTTTACACCTAGATGTGTTTCTTAACTTGTCAGAAGTAATGCTGCCCTTGGATGATTATTATTTTTCCTGTGGAATCGTGGAGGGGTTCATAGGCTTATACGTATAGATGTGTCAGCGAGTAGATAAAAAAGAAATATGTTTTCCTCTCAGAATAAAACTAGATAAACCCACTGGGTCTCTTATTATTTCTGACTCATCTCACTTCCTTTGGAATGCCAAAGTTTGCTGCTGGTTTTTAAATTGTCTTCAGATTCAAGCAAGTCAAATAATGCAGCTTCAAGAGAGAACTGTCTTTGCTATAGAATACAAATAATTTTAGAGATTATTTGTATATTTTTCAACAAATATTTCCAAACATTTTCCAAAGAACTAGAGATTGAACGGCAAAACGAGTCTCTCTGGTCCTACTGAGCTTAAACTCCAATGTTCTAATGGGAGTGATGGGCAGTAAAGTATGTAGAATATAATGTCAGATAGAAATAAGTTCCATGAAGGAAAATAAGGGTAGATGAAGAGATGGAGTGAAAATGAGGGGTGTTCATCAGGATGGCCAGAAATGGTCTTTTTGTGGAGCAACTTGAGCAAAACCTTACGTACAAAAGGGTGAGAACTTCCGGCTAAAGGATAACGTGTGCAAAGGCCCCAGAGGGTGAGCAGGTGATTCCCCGTCTGCCTGGAGTGCACACGATGGGGCCTGGTGGGTTTTGTAGGTTGGGGTCGTCAGAAGCAGAGGCTGGGATTCTTCTCAGTGGCTTCACTTGACACTTTGACTCATAGCATCTAGGAATGATCAGGTGGAGACATTTGATGAGTAATTTTGAAAAGCTGTTTTGTTAAATTTGAAGGATAATACTAAGCAAAACAATTATCTTACTCCTATGAACATAATATACTTTTATCTTCCTCTTTGTTTTTATAATTTGAAGAAAATACTGATGTATGATGAAATCAGAAAAAGGGTCTACTATAATTGCTGATAGAGAAGGAAATGAGTATTTCCTTACGCTTGAGTTGTGCGAATTGTGTTTCTTTTTCAGTTGACGAAAAGCACCAGAACGATGCAGGTCTATATGTAATTGTGCCGATCATTATTTCCTCTTCCGTCTTGTTGCTGGGAACGCTGTTAATATCACACCAAAGGTATTGTTCTTGGTGCTGAGAATCTTTATGGAAAAAGCCCCTAAGCATATTTAAATCTAGATATAATGCCCAAATCATGAATATTATAGTACTAAAATGTTTTTATATGCATTCCCTATACATGTAAGACAGCATAAAAATGGGAAAGCTATTTTCTTTTTTTGATAGGACAACATAAACCTCAAGGAAGAATTTAGTCCCCCCCCACGCCCACCCCCCCCGACATATAGGTTCAGGAATGACATACTTACAACAGGAAATCCTGGGCAGCATGTTCTTGGATGTGGTTAAAGTGCTTGAGGATTCTACTGGTGCCCACAGGTCTTTCAAAGTGGGCTTTTAGTGGTGACCTGGTGCAGCCAGTTCATTCTGATCTGCAGGAACTGGCTCTTAGTGAGCTGCCGGGCATGGCCGCAGTCTACCTGGCTTGTAGGCACACGGCTCTGAGTTCCCAGGATGGACCCAGGGTGCCCTCTCTTTCTCTGTGCTGCGAAATCTAGACCAGTGAAGTGATCTCACACATGCTATGTCTGTAGAGATGTTTTTCTACTAGCAAATAGGAAGAAGAGAAGGTTTTTAGAGTCTGACTTTATATTTTAGTCACATGAGTTGATGGGCCATGTTTCTGACACTCACAGGGTGGCCACTTTTAATATTCTATTTTCTATATGAAATCTACGCAAAAGGTAGAACAGTGCCTGCCACACAGCTTTCCATAAAAGTGGGCTATTTTATTATGATGTTGATTATTAACTTTGTCCAGAGGGGAATTTGGTGGAACTCGTCATGGGACAGAATGTAAAAGGGAATCTGACCCTACTGAGGTTAACTAGTTTGATGGGCTCATTTCTGTAGTGTGTGTTCATTAAATATTAATATTTCCAATATGTCTATTTTGTGTGATTCTAATGCTTTATCCTTTGTAGAATGAAAAAGCTGTTTTGGGAAGATGTTCCAAACCCCAAGAATTGTTCCTGGGCTCAAGGACTGAACTTTCAGAAGGTCACTTTCTCAATATTTTGAAGCTAGAATAAATGAGATTGCATTGTAGATGCCATATGACTGCAAGATCCTTAAACATTTTTAAGATTTAAGAGTTTTTATTTCATTCATTTTAATATAAGTCTGTTTATTATGTACTCTTAAAAATAGTAGGATATAGGGATTTATAACTAGGAGGAAACAAAATTCCATAGTTTGTCATATGCCAGCTGACAATATATATCTTTCTTCTAGTCACAGTACATAATAAAATAAATGTTAGACTATTAAGGGTCAAATCTGAGGAAGGATAGATATTGGGCTATACTTTTGGTACAAACTGATTGTCCTTGGGCAAGAGGCTTAGAGTCAATTATCTGTATTATTTAATGTCCATAATTACTTAAAGCAATTTAAAATTATATAAATAATCTTATTTTTAAGTGCTACAATCTGAAAACATGCAGTTATCCCTCTGAAGCTTCTGTTTATTCAGATATTCCCATTCAAGCTAGAAGATTTAATAAAATAGTGAATTATACAAAAATAATTTGAACTTAGTCCTATAATAAAATTTTTTAGAAAAAAACCCTAGAGTTTAGTGAATGCTTTATTAATTTTGCTTGTAAGAAGGTTGATTCTCCACCTACAAAATTGGAAAAAATGAAATTCAGTCTTTGTGTACAAATACGCTGTGTTGTAAAACAGTACTTACTTGGAGGTTATGGTGTTCCCAGTGATCGCATCTTTGTCAGGATTCGTTGGTGAGAAGCCTCCGGTGGCTTGCTTTGACCACAGACGCAGCCCCCTCAGCCAGAGCTCAGGAGCTCTCTTTATGATCTGTTAGCCACCCGTGTGTCTAGGTGTTTCTTCCTTGGGCCTCTGTTGTGCCTGTGCAGTCTAATTCCTTCCAGCTCTGCAAGGCTTTCCTCCTCAAGGAAGAGCCTGCTCTTGCCTCCTCTCTCTGCATGCCTTTCTGGAAGAATTTCTATGCTGCTTCTACCTCTCTGCTAGTTTGGAAGAATTTCTACCCTGCTGAGGTTCCTAGATTGCTTTGCTGTTGATTTATTGTGTACAGTGCTCTGTGTGCAAGGGCTGCATTTTATCCAGCACACGTACCAGTGGGACTGGAGTTGAATTCATTAAACAAGGACAGTGACCCTTAGTTGGATACCCACTTATTATGTCCAGATCTCTGAGATACACTTCCACTCATGCGGATTTTTCCTCTAATTCTCTGTGTTTTGGTTTTCTCTTCTGTAAAAGAAATGAGTTGTAGCATTATTGGGTTGGTTTGGAGATTACACAAGCCAGTACTTGTGACACAGAAAGGTCTCAATAAATACTAGTTATTATTTTGTATTATGTACATACTTAAGATGATTACTGTCTTTTGTTACCCTAAGGACAGGCGTCGTTTTCTCCATTTACAGAAGAGAAAGCTGAAGCTTATAGCGGTGAGGTCACTTGTTTTGGAGTCAGGATTAGCTTCCCAGTTCGTCTGATTTCAGAGCCTGTTTTCATAGTAGCTGACCTGGGCAGCAGTGACTTTCTTTTCCTGTTTTTTGACTGTGATCCACAATGAGAAAAGCATTTGACCTTTCAACCCAGCACACACATAGATATTTGGAAAAGAAAGGAGACATGCACAAAATAATTTTACTACTTGCTTGAGGTGGAATAAACAGAATGTTTTCAGAATTCTGTTTCATTTGTTAACAATGCTGTTTGCAGCCCGCTAAACTGATTTCATGATGTTCAAATGACTATTAAAACACATCACCGTACAGCTTGTCAGAGAATGATAAACAAGTAATATTTTAGACATAATGATCAGTGCAAAAGATTGTGCTGTCCTCGTTCATTAGAAGGACACAGTGCCCTGTTTTCAGAAGAGGCAGCAGCGTAGTTTTGCACGCAGTGGTTCATCATTTGGAAACTGTATCTGGCCTGACTCTAACCAGCTATCTACGTCTCAGCTGTGCTGTTGCTCGCCGTGCACTGTGGCATTTCCTTGTATTACAATACAGCTCCTGATTGTTGTCAAGTAACAAAAAACTTACTCGTCCTCTTTCTCTTCTACTCTGAATTTATATAGCAACATTTCTAGTGGTCACGGGGCTATCTCAGGCACATGTGTATATGTGATTCATTCATCTGTTCAGCTGACACACTGTTGACCAGCTCGAGGAGGACAGAGCTTTAAGAAGTTCTCTTCACCATCCCAGAAATGGGACAGTAGAGTCAGAGAAGAGAGGTTGGGCTGGAAGAATGGGAAACGCTTGTCTCTTTTTGCTTCTCTTCTTTGATTTCCTCCCTGCCCTCTTGTTTCTTTGGTTTCCTCTCCTCATAGGTCTGTTTGTTGGATGGTGACTATCTGCATGGATCAGCTATGCGTCATATCTCTGATCTGATGTTTTCTATTTATTTGTCTTTTTGTTTTGCATTCTGAGACCTTTCTATTCTTCCAGTATTTTCACTGGAGTTTTATATAATCTTAGTATTGTACATTTCCAAATAGCCCTTTTCAGAATGTTTTATTCTGGTTTTATGTGTGTGATGTTTTTTGCAAACTTACTAGAAATATCAATTAGAAGATTTTTTTTAATTTGAAAATTTGTCTTTTCTTTCTATTCCTTGAATTTTCTATTTCTTTTCTTTTTTTTGTCTTTTTGAGACAGGGTCTCTCTATCCAGTTCAGGCTGGCCTTGAGCTCACTTTGTAGCCCAGGCTGGTCTCGAACTCGCAGTGATGCTCCTGCCTCAGCCTCCCCAGTGCTGGGATTACAGGTGTGTGCCATCTGGCCTGGCTTCTATTCTGTTGGATCAGGTTTTTCTCTCATCCTAACTATTCTTCTTCTTCTTCTTTTTTTAAAATCTTGGACCTCCTCCAAATGTCAGGCAATCCTTTGCCCTTTATTCTTCCTGGGACAAAGCGTAGACAGGTTGCTGAGGGCCTAGGTGTATAGACAGGGATAGTTGTCCCAGGCGAGTAGCCAGGGCTCCACCCCGATGCACTAGGACGAGCCCTGAGAGAGTCATATCCTCTGAGAGGGCTGCTGCCTCTCTCCCTGACTCTCCTCAGGTGCTTCTGGGAGCCAGACTTCCCTCCCGGGAGCAGGGGCAGGCTGCACACAACGCCCTTCAGTGCTTCAGCGTACAGAGCCCCGCCATGTGCACAGCTCCCGGCCCACCGCAGTTTCCAGCCCCAGCGTCCCTTTCCTCCTGGGGTCCCCCTCCCTTTCCCCGGTCTTCCGCGCTGTATTCAGCAGGACTGGTGAGCTTCCTCTGCAGCTGCAGCCCACTCTGGACACATTCTGCCCTTCAGCTCCTTTTGCTCATGTCTTTGGTCTAACACTGTCCTTATGGTCCTCCGTCTTTTACAAATGAATTAAGATTATTCGTTCCCTATTATCCTTCTCAGATCATCCTTTTCACTGTGGATCTGTATTTGATTTAGTCACATGCATTCATCCTAACAGAATCTCTATAGAGATGAGGAAGAAACATGTTCAATCTGCCCTTTTGAATTTGAATTCTTCTTTACACAATAGCTCTTTATACTTTACCGATCAGAATTTTAAATAAAGACTGAATTCTTGGTGAGGGAAAATATACTGTAGTGACTCAATAGCCTTGCTTTTCTTGTAATGCAAATTTCATAGTATAAAAGAAGACAAAATTGCTCAATTTATTCTGTGCCTTTTTTCTTTAGCATTTTTGCCTGATTCTTTTTTCTTTCTTTTTTTTTCTTTTTTTTGATTATTTTTTCTTGTAAATCCAAATTATCTGAAGCTTTGCCCTTAGAGATTTTTTGTTTTTGTCTTTTTGAGGCAGGGTCTTGCTATGCAGTTCAGGCTGGCCTTGAGCTCACTTTGTAGCCCAAGCTGGCCTTGAACTCCCAATGATCCTCCTGCCTCAGCCTCCCTAGTGCTGGGATTACAGGTGTGCACCACCACGCCTGGCTGCCCTTAGAGATATTTTAAGACTCATTTGATTTAACTTTTATTCATTTCATTCTTTTGCATTTTAAAGTTTATCTTATAATATTTTCTCTCAGTTTTTCCCTGGTCCAACTCTGTTCTTTTGCTTACGTTTCTGACAGGTTTTCTAAGAATGTCCTTAACAAGTTAATGGAAGGGGACTAAGTAAAACTAAAGCCAAGTGGATTTTTCTGGGAGCTCTAAAGACTCTCCTGGATTATTTATCAACCAGCTCCACGCTTTGAAAGAAAGAGCTTCTCAACTGTTAATTTCCAGAGCACTGTCACACAGATCTGAGTCAGAATTGTGTCTGAGGGGGCTGGGGATATAGCTCAGTGGCATAAGTGCCTGCCTGGCAAGTGCAAGGTCCTGAGTTCGATCCCTGGTACCGTAAAAAAAAAAAAGTAAAAGAAACTCCTATTTTGGGCTGGGGATTTAGCTCAGCGGCAAAGCGCCTGCCTGGCAAGCGCAAGGTCGTGAGTTCGGTTCCCAGTACCGGAGAAAAAAAAAAAAAAAAAAAAAAGAAAAAAGAATTGTGTCTGAAATTGTGAGATTGCCCTTGCAAATGTGTGGAAGACCCAGTGCGGTTTCGAGTTAGATGTTCTGTTTAGAAGTAGCTAATCTCTTCCGTGCCCTGAAGTGTGTATTACTGGGCCTACAAGCATATATTTCACTACCCTCAAATATCATTTCAGTTTTGTTTTTCCTTATTCCTTATGCCCCTCAGGTCATAAGGAACCAGGAGAAAATATGACTGAATCAGCTCAACTCCATCATAGCAAGTAGAAAAGGAATATAACATATTCTTCTGCTGTTTTGTATCTTGGACTTTGTTGATCTTCCACTGAGTTTTAGAAAGATAGTCGGAGTGGAACAGAGAAGAACTAAGTCAGAGTTTGCACTCTGCTCTAATTGGCTGTGTGATCTTAATTTCACAGGCCTCCATCCTTTATTAGATCTTTTTTCTACATAAAGAAGAAAACAACCCACAGCAAAGATTCTGCGATTCTCTTCTTCATTATTTTAGTACTTTCTTCTCTTTCTTTTTACATTTTTCTTCTCCTTGTTCTATTCTTTTTCTTTCTTCTTCCAAGTGCCCCAATATTACTGTGGTTTTATCTCTCCCCACTTTTCCCAGCTCCTTGGTTTTTTTTCTGCTTTTACCTATTTTGTCATTCTTCTACAGTGTTTCTTCTGCTGGAGTAATTAAATTCATCCTTACAGTATGACATGAAAGCACAAATTTAAAAAATTCAAAAAACCACCTTAGTTTAATGTTGTTCTTGTCCTAAAATGATGCATAATGGTAGAATGACACAAGAACTTAACTTAGAGTCCAGAGCTGTGCCTAACAGAAAATGTTTTGAAATCTTTTACCTTTTCCATCCTGTGTGACTTTTTATTTTGCTTTCTTATTTTGTTTTATTTTATCTAAACAGAGAGCGGACATTCTTTGACGCCTTATCATGATCACTGCTGATGAACTCAATGTACCAACTTCCCAACAGCTCATAGAATATTAGAAGATTTTTACATTTTGAAGAAGGGGAACAAATCTAAAACACAAACTGGTTGAGCTATTGAGAACTAACATATGGTGGTTTATCTTTGTTTAAAATTTAAAATAGATATATAAATTTGGGTCGTCACATAGATTGGAATCCACGTCAGTTTGGATGTGTGATTTTCAGGTCATCTAAAGTTTAAAATTAATATTCATGATTTCTGGCTTGTTATGTATCATTTTCATAGTCATAAGACAAAAGATATTATGAGTGTATATATTAGAACATATCGGTCAGATACCATCATATGTCTAGTAAATGATGCTGTAACAGTGTGCACTAGAGCCGCACCTTCTCACAGACAGCTCTGCAAACACAAGGGCTGAAATTGCGAGGTGCATTGGACGTGTTGGTTTATATTTTTATGCCTCAAAATTTTCATTTCAGATTCCTTTTTAAACTCTTGAGCCTATGATTGACCTGTTTGGGGGTTCTTTTGAATGTTTTGTAGCTCTTGTACATCCAACTTGGGGCAATCTGGGAATTCCAGTTTTCAACAGCCTTGGTGATGCCTTATGTACTAACTTTCATTGCAGCCCAAAGACAGCCAGAAGTTGTGGTTTGTACTGGTTACAGACCAGTGAAAATTACAGTTCGTATCAGGATAACCCCCACACTCAGGTTGGCATGCCCAGATCAGCAAAGAACATAAACTTCCGGTCCAGCTTGCTTGCGCAATTCTTGCCCAAATCTAATTTATTTCCATGGAATTGTCCAAAACTTCTGGCAGGCAGGGAAACGTGCCATGCTACAAAGAAAAGAGACTCTTTAGAGCTTTTACAAATAGTTCATGGTGAGGACAGGAATTTTGTTTTATCTGGAAACAGGCCACTTGCCTGTGCTATAAGTTTAGCATCCTAAGCATGCTCAGTTGCTCACAAACTAAACCAGAGAGTTTAGGAATGAACCGGGTGATATCCAAGCTTGTGCTATCTGTGGATCACTTATATTTAGATGTTACTCATAGTCTTACTGGGATGTCTTAAAAAATGTAAGAGAGCGGAAGAATGTGTCTTTTCTCCCCTTCATTAATTGTTAACAGGTGTCCTTGAAGTGCAAAATCTTGGTGGAAAATTCTGAACAGATATTCTTTAATTCCTACCAGCTGAGTACACATTTAATATGTGCCTAGACTGTTCTAAAAATCTCAAAATATTAGATATTTGCCAAATAATTTTAACCAAACATACTTTTAGTAAAGCTTTATGACCCATATGTTTCAATAATGTATGGCTATGTGATTTCTTAGTATTAATGAAATCTTCCATCTGGATGCATTTTAAGATGTACAATGTTTGTCTTCAACAGTTAGTGACCTGTCATGAAGTTTCAGGAAACAGTAACTATCCCAAACAGGAATGCATTTGAGGAAAACATTGAACGTGACCGCATGCTATAGGTTATTTCTTATTTCCATATTGATAGCATCTAGTTCCTTCATTTAGTGATTTTAATTTCCAAGTTCATTTAAATCTAAAAACAATTCAATATATCCATGCACATACACAGACACACATGAAACCTTTAGAAAAATACAGAATGACCCAGCAAATATTTGATGGAAATCACAAATCTACAGATTCTCGTCAGAAGGAAAATAAACATAGGATGTCTTCTCTTCCTATATCATGTTGGTAGAATGACAGAAAAAGTTATATTAACACAGTATTTTTCATTATGCAGTATTTTAATATCTATGTGAGTTTATTCAAATATTATTATATTTAGTGTTTCATACATTTATTCATTCATGGATTTAACGCTAATATATTTCACTTAAGAGCTTGATCATGTGCTAAAAATTTGCATTTTTATGTGGAATATCCTTGCCATGGTGAAGAACAATTGAGCATGTCATTATCTCAGGCAGTACCTGTGCAGTCATTCTATTCATTTAAAAATGTTCAAACTAAAGTTCAATTACCTGTATGATATATAACACATTTTCTATAGCTCTTAATTTGGTTGTGCTAGTTTTTCAATGTGATGTATCCATGGTGTTTTTTATTTTGCATTTATCTTTTCAGTATGTTCACAATGTATAAATTGAGCATTTGCATACAGATTCTTGATTTGTACCTGCTTTGTAAGATTTCTGTTGTGATGTAACCATCATTCCTATAAAAACTATGATGCGCATTTGTCTTGTGTATTTGTCTTCATTCCATATCTGTCATATACATTTTTATATGAAGTTATTTATAAGGAGTATCAGTTTACAAGTCTGTTACTATTTCTTTCATCGTCATTGTTTTCAACAAATAAGCTCCTATGAGCTCATCATTAGCTCTTATTTTCATAGAGCCTCCAGCAATTCTCAACAGTCACAATTATTTTATCTTTGTATCATGTCTTATGTCATGGAATCATTATTTTAAGTATCTTGAGACACACTTTGCTCATTTGGTTTTATTTCAGTCAAAATTTTTTTTCTAGTTGAGGTTTAAATTTTCAGTTTATAGGAATGGAATTTACTACCAAGGATGAGGAATTCTTCAGAGGATGACATTCTCCAATTATTGTAATGATTGTTTATTGAAAGCTAAGCACTTACAGACACTATCTTATATATTCCTAACCACACCACCAAGAAGCAAGTGTTGAACTTGTTTTTACAGGCAAAGTAAGTGAAAGGCAGAGAGGCCAATGTACTTGTTCATGCTCACAGAATTAGAAAAACTCAAGCCTAAGTCAGTTCTATCCCACTCTTAAGCCCCTTCTCCCTTGTGATTTTGATACATGTTTTAGTCAAAAAGTAATTAATTTGTGGTAGAATTATGCCCCTGGTCATTAACTGCACACACGTGCATTTCTGCAAGCATGGCATAAGGAAGTAAAAATAGTAATATAATCGAGCATTAAAATGTGTCTTTTCTTTTAGCCTGAAACATTTGAGCATCTTTTTACCAAGCACACAGGATCAGTGACCTTTGGTCCTCTTCTTTTGGAGCCTGAGACCATTTCTGAAGACATCAGTGTTGACACAGCATGGAAAACTAAAGAAGACGTGGAACCAGCAACATTGGTTTCCCTTCTTGTAACAGTGCCTGACCCTGAAAAGGGTTCCGTCTGCGCGAGTGACCGGTGTGACAGCCCTCCCTTCTCTGACAGGGGGAGCACCGAGGTGAGCTGGGAGGACGAGAGCCTGGGACAGCCCTCGGTTAAATACGCCACACTGGTCAGCAACTCGAAGTCCAGTGAAGCCGGCGAGGAACAAGGGCTTCCTGACTTTTCCATCGGCAAGGGCTGCTCCAGTGGAAATTCTCCACTGAAAGATTCCTTCTCGAATAGCTCCTGGGAGATAGAAACTGAGGCAGTTTTTATATTATCAGATCAACAGCCTGACATGATTTCACCTCATCTTTCATTCTCAGAAGGATTGGATGAACTTTTGGAGCTGGAGGGAAATTTCCCTGAAGAAAACCAGAGTGAGAAGTCTGTTTATTATTTAGGGGTCACCTCAGTCAAAAAGAGAGAGAGTGGTGTGTTTTTGACTGAGGAGTCGGGAGTACTGTGCTCATTTCCGCCCCACTGTTTATTTGCTGATATCAGAATCCTCCAGGACAGTTGCTCACACTTGGTGGAAAAGAATTTCAACTTAGGAACTTCTGGTACGAAGGCTTTTGTATCTTACATGCCCCAGTTTCAAACCTGTTCTACTCAGACTCATAAGATAATGGAAAACAAGATGTGTGACCTGACGGTGTGAGTCCTTTCAAGAGACCTTCAGGTTTGTGTTCTGATGGGTCACAGGAAGTGTCACGGATTCTTTCACAGATGTGGACAGGAGAGAAAAAAAACTGTCCAGGTCGGGGGTGAAAATGATTATGCCAAAATTATGGATGTCTGTCACTCGTTGATCAGGAATATAGACCAAAAAAAAAAAAAAGAAATGTGAGAAAGTCTTCATGAGCTGAGCCAGGTCGATGGACTGCTCCAAGGAGTCTACTCGTGTGCTACTGTGGGAAATACACCCAGCAAACACCTCCTTTAGAGAATCTTCAACCCGTGTAGAAAGAACTAACCTTCTCTATTACAGCGACATCTTTAAAAAAGAAGGTTTCAGATTAACATCTGTGAGATATAATTGTTATTTCAAGGGTGTGTTTCCCCTTGAGTCATCTTTGTTACCGATTACACACATACACATTTACACTTAATCCAGGCATCCTTGCACATTTTGCAAGTATGTGATGTGTTTGGACTTTTGTTACTGGACTGAAGTAGGTGTCTCATTAAATGATGACTATAGCGCAGTGTGAGCCCTGGCTCAAGAGGCTGCACTTGTGAGGACAGACAAGTTAGCAAGTGGTCGTGTGTCCGACCTGAGACAAGAACCACAGGAGATCACTGGTTAGGACAACAGCACCCACAGCTGGGATTCTGAGGGTGACACGAGCCAGTTTTAATTCTTCTCTCTCCAGTACACTGAAAGGGCCACTGTGTGATCTAGTTCCATTGCCAGACGTCACTGTATCTGCGCGTGTGTGACTCACTGTTGTCTGTCCCATGCTCCACTTGCACATAATCCGTTTCTTCTGTCCCTTCCTGAACATTCTTTTTTCATAGGAACCAACCACTGTGCCAATACTGTAACTCATTACTGCAATAATTGTATGAGACATTTGTTACTCTTAGACTCCTTTCAAAGATTAGGAGATTACATAATTAGTCCCAGGTCACAGAGTTAGTGGGTGATAAAAACTTTACTTCACAATTATAATGTTTATTCGGTCCTGGTGAACACTATCTGCTGTTATACTGTGGATTGTTATAAAAATTTAGGGAAAATGTAGAGTGTCATATGTTAGAATGGTCAGATACCCATCTTTTCTTTCCAGATCTTCTGTAAACATAATTTAGGGAGCAAGGAGGTAGATACAGGCTTTGGGCTTTTAAATTTACAATAAATCTGAAACTTTTATTTTTTATTTATTTATTTATTTATTTATTTTTTGTTTTTCTCTGGTACCGGGAACCGAACTCATGACCTTGTGCTTGCCAGGCAGGCGCTTTTGCCGCTGAGCTAAATCCCCAGCCCCTGAAACTTTTATTTTTAATTTAAAGACCTTTAATGATAGCAGAAGCTTCTAATTAGTCTCTTTAAATATGAACTTTATGAAAAAAAAAACCTGAGAAAATTAATTATTTGAGTTACAACTTCAAGTGCAAACAAATTGTTCCAAGCTAAGTTATAGGTCAGGGTTTGCAAAATGTTATGCTTCCCAGCTTGAAATCCCAAAGTTCAAAGATTTAAAAAAACCTGAGCCACACTTCCCAAAGGGTAGGGGCCTTCTGTAGGGATCCTAGGCCCCGTTTTGAGGTAAGTTACAGATTGGCAGGGGGTTAGGGACAGACACTTTTTCTTTGTAGACCTACTCTTCAAATAATAGAAGGAACTGGATGGGGGTCTCAAGCCACGGGAGATGCGGGACTTAGAGCAAGGATTTTCAGCCCCGGTCATGACGTTCTTTTTCTTGTCTTTTTCCAAAAAACCCAACTGTCTTTCCAAATATCAAACATATGACCACAGTTCCTTTGGGAATATTGGTATTAATGGCCCGAAGGTGAAGAAAGCTTCCCGTTGGCTGTGAGGACTGAGAGAGGGGCGTACAGGCCCCCGCGGAGCAGGAGGCAGCACAGCCACCAAGTTCATGCGGAGGTCGATGCAGAAGGTCCTCTCTGCACCATTTCCCAGAGTCTGGGAGAGAAATGTCTCTTCCAAGGGTCAGTTTGAGGTCACTTTCATAAACTCTTGGGAAACATTCATTGTTGAGGGTACTCATTCGCAAATTCTGAAACACAGAGTTAAAACTGCCCACACTCCCAGTGATCTGTGGTTCGCATCTCATTTGAAAAAAAAAAAAAAAAGGTGAATGGGGCTATAAAAAACATAAAGAGCTGTTCGTGAAAGAGCTAGGGAAGTCAGTCATTTCACTTCCTGAACAACAAGTTTAAAACAACAAAGCCCTTCTGTCCTGTTCACAATGTTCAGGGGACAGCGTAAAATATAAAAGCGCACGTTAGAGCCCAGGGACTGTTATACGCATATGTGAGCTGCAAGAAGTGGATCCCTTAGAGTTTTATATTGAATGAATTATTTTTATACAAAGTTTATCAAAATTTATTTTAGAAAGCATCTGAAAAATGTCTATTTTTCAAACTTAACTGTGCTTGAGATGAATGGCATTAAGCATTCAGTTTAATTTTCTGAGGACCTCTGACAGATTATTTTAAATAACACATTTACTCAAAGAACCTGGAGAATGAATCTGGAAGATATTTAATTTTGTAATGACAGACATATATTGTAGATACTGTACTTTTGAAATCTGTCTTTCAGTATTTTGCAAGCAGTGAACTTTCTGTGTAGTCGCCATGGGTATGGTAATAAATGTTATTTAAGTATCAAAATATGCATCACTAGTTGTTCTATCAAATTATCCTGTTTCTCCTTTACATACCCAGGATCATAAAATTTTATATGATCAGATATTTTCACCCTTTATCATTGTGAATCAGAAGCAAGATTACTGTTTTGGGTAATGGTGGTCTAAATAGAATTATTATGAGTTTACGTTAGTTTAAGGTTATTTTATCCACTGTATGAAGAAATAATCCTTATAGTTTATGTAAGTAGTTCATATAAAGTTTTCCATTCATCATCATCCCTTGATTGTGTCCTCCAAGTTCCTGCAAAAATATTTCCTCCTGTTTGGAAGAGCTTGCAGACAATTACCGGCAAAGGTTCACCCTCATAGTCAAAGCTACACAGTCAAAGCTACACAGCAGATCACAGCATACTCCCAAAGGCCACCAAGCTGCTCATGAAGAAAGAGTATTCATTTTAATCACCAACGAAGATGTCTCATTTTAATCAAGAGCACTTTAATTTGATTCTTTATCTCTTTGGCAAATCTTGATTTATAGTGATTAATGAATTTACATTTTGTTTCTTAGGTTTCTAGTAAATGCCACTATTTGAGTTTGTATTCAGCCTTACTATCTTTCTTGCTTTTTAATTTTAAAATGTAACCAAAACAAATGTACACAAGAAAATTTTCAAACAGTATGTTGGAATATACAATAAAAGTGACAGTCCTCCTTCACTCCCAATCTCAGTACTAGCCCCGAAATGA